TAGAGTAAATTGATAGAAGTTTAATTTGTTTAGCAAAAAGGGAAAGGAGACTTTATTTAGGGACATTCATAAAACAAAGTTCCAAGTTTTTTAAGATATGCGACGAATACTTTTTATACTTCCTCCGTACCTTAAAACTATGTAAAGTTTGATATTATAAATCGGCTCTAAAAGAAGAAGATAGTATAGCTACTACATATACGTAACGGTTAACCCGTCTAAAAGAAGAAGATAATGCATAATCCACCCCGTCTAAAAACAAGATCTGTACTATTTCTCTTTTTAAATGTGAGCACAAGAGTTGTGTTGTGACGAAGATACATATCCGTAACGGTTAACCCGTCCCGTATAGATAAATTATGGAAAAGAAAGGAAATAGTACATATCTTGTTTTTAGAAGGGGTTGATTATGCATTATCTTCTTCTTTTAGATGGGTTAATCATTACGTATCTGTAGTAGCTACACTACCTTCTTCTTTTAAATCCGATTTATAATATCAAACTTAACAAAGTTTTAATGGACGGAGGAAGTATAAAAATTATTCGTCGCATCTCTAAAAAAACTTGAAACTTTGTTTTATGAATGTCCCTAAATAAAACTTCCTTTGCCTTTTTGCTAAACAAACTTTTATCAATTTACTCTACCCGTCTTAAGTAATAATGACAACACAATACCAAATAATATTAAACAATGCCAATATGTCAAATCACCGTACTCCATAGTAAAAAAGACATTTTAGAAAGTTGAAAGGAAAAATTTCTTAGAAATGGATGATATTTAAACTAAGAAGTTTAAATAGGGAAAGAGGCCGCGGTAGTTAAAATAGTACTCTTCAGCAAATTTAGTCAATTCAATCATAAAAGTAACCAATTGCACGTTCTCTTTGTACACATTCTAGTGTGTATATGCGAAATTTACACGCCTACGTAAACAACCGTGTTAAACTAGTAAAATGGCGTGTACAATTAAAAAAATCCAAAAGTAACTCTCACATTACTCATTTTTGTTATTACAAACTCAGACACGCTAAATCAAATGTTACGTTTTTTTATCAAAAAAAACTAACTAATAAACAGGAGACAACATTATCAAACAAGCTTTTACTTCTTCTCTTAACAAGAAAAGTTTATAAAGTTTCATAACTTTGATCAAATGCACTTAAATGATTCAAAAAGTTTACACATATTATCTAGGTCATAATGAAAACAATAGTCACATTATTTGGCATGGGTAAGAGGGACTGGCTTTAAGCGTGTTCATATGCATAATAAATTACATGAACCTTGTAACGGTTGGTCTAATGAACTTTTCATATTTCGAGGTGATTAGTGTGAGGCCACGCAACAGTCAACAAGAAAAATGAGGAAATCAGGGGAGATCGGTAATCAAGTATCCAAACCAGATTTGCATAATCTGCCCCCTTCTAAAGAGCATCAATACGGGACCGGTTAACCGTTGCGGATTTATACCTATGTCACAACACAACTCTTGTGCTCATTAATAAAAAAAAAGGAAATAGTACAAATCTTGTTTTTAGAAGGGTGAATTATGTACTATCTTCTTCATTTGGACGGGTTAACCGTTACAGATCTCTATCGTTACGTAACTACACTATCTTCTTCTTTTAGAGCCGATTTGCAATATCAAAACTAGTTGAATTGACTTAATCTGATATAAATTTATGAAATTTTGATTGGGCGGTTGAATTAGTGAATCTGCAAAGTAATGAGAAAATTACCTTTAAGTATACTCGAGTATTTATTAATAAAAGAAGAGTTCTCTCTCTCTCTCTCTCTCTCTATATATATATATATAATGTAGGTCGACTTCTTTTTTATTTGTAAGTTCAATTAATTAGGTCTAATGTTTAATTGTTATTGATAATTTGAAAAAATAGAACATAAGTTAAAAGTCTTAAGCGAAGCCGAGTTTAAAAAATGAATATACACTAATTTTAAGTAGGACCAGTTGTAGTTTTTAAAGCAATGTAATTGTTGCTGAATCAACAAAAGACACATTCTTTTCAGTCTTCACATTTCTTTAGCTTATAAAGTTTTTTATTCCTCTTAACTAATTATTGATGATTTTGTTTCACATTTTTTTTTACATTTGTTTCACATTGTTCTGCGAGAAACATTTTAAGTAATATTTTTCTTTTGATGTCATACTCGTGTTGTTATTTTTGTCCAAATATGTAAATTAAATAATATTAAAATGATTTTTGCTTTTAGTTTATAACTTTTATTAGATATTTTGTTATAATTCATTATTTAAATAAGTATAGTTTACGCCTTTGATTTGCGGTTTGATTTGGATATAAGAGGAATGTAATATATCGTTCATAGGCTGAGAATTGGGCAGGACTGACCCTACACTTCAATAAAACATTCCACCAATTAGAACAGATTCAATCAATTTGAAGGTTACTAATGGAGTTCTAATTTATACTACTGTTGCTTTTAAGATGACATTTTCTCCCTGTTATCTTTATCGTATTTTGTTTCATTATTTCAGGCTTTTCAGGTGCCATGCAAAACATACGGGGAGTGTTAATTAGCAACAATTTTAAAAAGGTTTCTTACTACTAAGTTTTTTATTTTTAAATGGCTAAAAATAGTACGGAGTACTTCACGGCTTAATTAAAGTTATAATTTACTCAGTGTGGGGGAACTGGAAGGCTCTTCAAACTGATTTATATTTTTCTGTTATTTAAAAATCATCAAACGATCTCAGTTTTACTTTATTGAAAATTACTTTTCTTTCAAATCAAACACAAGATGAGACTTAAAATAAAAATCAAATACACAAGGCAAATCTGGTATATAGTTTTACTTTACAGTAATTTGTATTTACGTATAAGGCAAATCAACTTAAAATAAAAATGCCAAATACACATCTATCAAATGTCCTTCAATTTTCTTGCTTAATGACGATGATAAAAATTAGTTGATAGAGTATATGAATTCAGGCTTACGGCTCACACACTATTGAATACACGAGCATCCCAAACAAGTAACTAAAAAATTCAACGCCTTTCACCAATCCTCAGTAGACAATATGAAAGCTTGTTGTGGCGCCAAAGCTATGTGCTCTGTTCAGGCTCACGGCCTACACCCTTCAATTCGTCCAAGACCCGGTCACCCGGACTACACCACAGCCCAAAACTAAAAAATTCTAAGGAAGATTGCCAAAAGATTGTGCTGCCTTTCACCTCAAGACCTCTCGGTTCAAAAAGTGAGGGACTCCGGACAAAGTATATGGGCTCAAGCTGACGGTGCACATACTCTAGGATTACAAGCAGCCCAAATAAAGCAATTGGACTACACCCCTCATTCAGGCCCTTCAATTAGACTTAAATAAACCAGACATCGACTGTAGTAAAATACACAATGATCAGACATCTACCAGATGAAACTTAAACGTACCAGATTCGACCAAAAAATTTTAGTCCAAGTAATAACATCATAAGCCCTACAAATCAACTTTGAAATTATACATTTTTAATGAAATTTTTTTTAATACAATAAAAAACATAAAACTATTTCGAAATACCTTTAACTTAGCAAAATGTCATTAATAGTTTAAACCTATAAGTAATTACCGTTATTATTGCTATTACAAGGGGATAATATGAAAGGAATATTTTTAAAATTAATTCAAAAAAATATATGTATTTTGTTAAATTAAAAAATAAGAAATAGAAAACACCAACAACATATAGAAAGAGAAAAGGATTTCATGAGGAAAATCAACACAAATACTAAATTACTAAATTAGAGAATATTAAATCACATTTTTCTCCAAAGCATTGCCCACTAATTTTAACAATATCATTGCAAGCAACTCTCGTGTTGTAATCATGGGAGATGTTCCTAGATCGTGTGAAACGATATTAGATTAAATTCAGGATGTTGCAAGATCTAGGCCTGTGCTAATCTGATTAGACAAGAGCACACTTATATACTCCGTATAGTTATACAGATTCAATCTCAGAGTATTTAGATTCTTACTTGTTGGACTGTAATTAAAATAACTTTTATTATTTTTAAGTATATTGTTCATTTGAAATCTATTATTTCTTACTCCCTAGTATTTACAAATACGTAGTATGAAGAATTAAATTAACTTTAGTTTGATTTAATATATTTTTTGTAGCCAAGAAACATAATTATTACTCTGTATTAATTAAATTGTGGATCAGGGCCTATAATTTACAATTAGGAGGATTGGACATCCGTCCTCAGATAAAGAAACGGTTGTCCAAGCAAGTTCATAAGTAACACGATTCGCACTGTTTATAAAAGCAAAATATGTAATACAATGCAATCGATGTTTTATGTTTTAAAAGATATAGACAACGAAGTAAAATATTTAAAATAGAAAATCTTTTTTTAGAAAAATATTAAGAGCAGTCTTGCTAATGTTCAGTGGATACCCGGAATAATCTAGTATGTTCCTAGGCCGAATTATACCGGTCTCATATTTTTGTCTAAGAATTTTGGAAATTGTTGTTGAGGTCCAACAAGTTCCAATCCGATCTTAAGCATGTACATGCTAACCCCAATTAAGAAGTAGATGATAGTAAATATTTATAATATGAGACTTTATCAAATCAGATCAAATTATACTAATCGAATACATTTGTACACATTAAATCAAATTGAAAATTTGAAACACATTATATTACATTTCTGGTCTTTGTGTACTTGATGATTGTAACCTAGTATGATCTGATTTGGGACTGAAAATCGTCCAACAAGTAAAAACATATTTACTCACACGGTGTCGCTGAGGAGATTCAATCTTAGGTAATTGTTCCAAATTTTTACTGGTGGCAATCTGAGCTGCCCATGTAGCAAGGGGAGTATAGTGCAATATATATTGAAATAGAGGCATGAGGGTAAATTGTGAGACCAATGTTCACGTCATCCCATCCGGCCAGACCCCATAGGTGGGTCTATAAATCACGAAAAACTGGGTTCATAATCAACATTCCATATATAGAACAATAATAACAACACCCCACAGATGGAGCCACTGGTCACCATTGAAGACCTGCATTTGTTCCACACTGTGGACAGGAAGATCTTCTCCCGCCTAGTCATCGACCTCGGCCGCAACCCGTCGGAGTCGATGCTGGTCATGGCTTTCTGGCTATGGCTCGAGGACATTGACTTCCCAAGCATCACTCAAAAGATGGGGAACTTCCCTCACTCCATGGTCAACGACTTGGCCCGAGAAGCTGCCCGGTGCCTGAGGATCCTTGACCCGAGGACCCTCCCCGAGGCTTATCGGGATGATGACATGCCTCTCTCCTCGATGGTCATTGAAAGGCCAATTTCATCGAGCCACTTTCAGACCACCAAGTTCTCCGCCATCACCGGAGTCAAGACCTTACTCAACAAGGTCGTCGCCATTGTCTTTGCTGACATACTGGAGCAAGTTCTGCAAAGCGGACGCCGTCGCCGACCCACGAACCTCCCTCCTCCTCCGCTCCTTATCCCGGGATTCCCGGACCCCGTGTTCGGTCGCGTCGAAGTTGTCCCATTACCCCCGGGCTCCTCCGTCCCTGAGGGCGGGTTGTGGGGCTGGGCAACGTCGTACGAAACGACCGTGGATGACCGGACCATGTTCCTGACGTTCTCGAGAGGGTACTCATATTTGTGTAATTTACATTTCACTCTCTTATTATAAATATATCTGTCAGGACTTCTATATATGAGAGTAACATATTCCATTATTTCACAGGTACTGGGTGACGGAGGAGGAAGTGTGGGAGCTATTCACGTCTTTGTTCGGGGATTGCGTGGAGGCGGTGAGGATGGTGCCGCCGGTCATCCAGGAGGAGCAGTCGCTGTACGCCAGGATGGTGGTCCGGTCGGTTGAAACCATTGACAAGATTCTGGGTAAAAAAAACATCGCGAAGCTTCGTATTCACGGGAAACATGTGTGGGCTCGCAAGTACGAGCGCCGGGACCGAGACCGAGACCGAGACTGATATCGTTAAATAACGTTGCCAGATGCTAATAATCCTGTTAATCAAACCTTAATAATTCTGTAATAATTTCGGTTTCCCGTGTACTTTGTTTAATTTGTGGTAAATAATATCCGATATACCGTACCGTCATAGATCAACATAATCGCAATCTTGATTGTGGATTGTGATGATGAAGATGATGATTATGGTATATAGTGAAGTGTTGTTGTTGTAATATTTGCTTTGGTTTCTTCCATTCCGTTTACCAATGTTATAATTAATGTCAATCCCGCCAATGTTTGAATATATTTGGAATTCTCGTGACTTTGAATGAGTGTTTGATTTGAGGAGTTAATTCAGTAATTGACCGATAGATCTTGAGAAATCCTCTACTTTGTAAAATTGTTTTATACTCGTTTTTGGTTTTTGAAGTCATATTTTTGAGTCATTTTGTGAAGCAACCAACTTTTTATTTGGAATGTAGGATGTTCTCATTTTTCTCATGTGGTTAGCTTTGGTTTGTTAAATCCAATCAGATCAGGTATATATGGTCTGTAGTGATTTTATTATTATCTAAACTTTGATCTGTTTAGGTTTAGATTCATCTAGTTTTTTTAGATGAAACCTAACTAGGCCGGTGAAGACTGAAAACACCTCAAATATGACTGGTTGTTTATTTAGGTTAATTTTATTGAGTCTTGTTGAATTTGTTTAGGTCTAGTTTAATGTACAAAAACATAATCTAACATGGTCTAATTCAGTTTTGAGCGTATTTTCTTGCAATTTGTTTTGGATAGTATACGAGTAATTTTGTTAGACGTGGTTTCTCACCCTGTTGTGACATATCCGCATAATCTATTAAGACATCCTCTCGTAGTAAAACAAGTAGAGTGATGTTTTTAGTTGGATCGAAATTTTCTGATATGATCTCGTCTGGTCTAATCTGAACTGGTTTGGTAAATGTTTGATCTCTATGTATTTTATAATTGCCAAAATCTGGTTTAATCTGATATGATCTGGTTGAATCTGGTCTGATTTGATCTGATCTGGTCTGGGATCGACAGTCCAACTAAAAACAAGTAACGATTTTAGGTAAACGAGTACAAGTGGCGACTTATAAGTCGCCAAACCGGATGACAACTTATAAGTCGCTCAACCGTTTGGCGACTTTGCCCGACCATGATTAAACCAAGTAGTAGATGATAATAAATTTTAACCCAGCATTACTTTCGTAATTAATTAATTAATTACCAAAGCGCCATATTCTGCTGCATTTTGCATTTTGCGGGGTTTTATGTTTAATAAATAGGTTTAATTTAAAATTAGATGGACGGTCAATGAAGCGTAATACCGAGTAGAAACTAGAAAGTACAGAGTAATACTACCTCATTATGGTTATCTTTCAATTTCTCCAATTCGCCGTCAGAACATTATTCGAAATTTGAACACACAAAACAGTTAATGAAATGAGATACACAAAACAAGTTTCAACCTCAAATACACACCAAAAGCTTTATGAGCCCGTTTCGTAACCCGTTTCAACCTACAATTTTCCTTTATACCAAGTTTTTTCTTTAAGCATACTCAATGATCAATTTAGTTATTTTTTATAGGGAAAAGTAGCAAATAAATTCTTGAACTAACTTTAAAAGTGCAAACCACCCCTTATATAGGAGGTTTTTTCCGGCCGTCGTCATTTGGGGCGATTCCCGATGAAATTTTTTGATGAAATTTTTTGAGCATCTTCTTCATTAAGTCTAGTTCACTCAGAAAGGCAGTCAAATGAAGTTTTTGAAGATAACTGTGCAGATAAACAACGCAGCATATTACAGAAAATCATTTGGTTGTCTTCCCGGTTGAATTTTTAACTGAAATTTGGTGTTGGTAAACTAGATTTAACGAACAAGATGCTCAAAAAAATTCATCAAAAAATTCCACCGGGAACCGCCCCAAATGACGACGGCCAGATAGAACCTCCTATATAAGGGGTGATTTGCACTTTTTAAGTTAGTTCGAGGGCTGATTTGCTACTTTTCCCTTTTTTATATATATTTTTCTTTATTTTATTAATAAAATATATTTTAAATAAAATTTTCTCATAAATCAACAGAATTAATCAATCCAATCACTTTAGTCTGAATTTTATTTTATAAATTTTAGCAGAATCATCCGATTCAGCATATTTTAGCGTTACCAAACGGGCTAGTAATAATTTTTCTTTATAAGAAGTGTTAATTACAATTAATATTTTTTTGTAATGCAGTACGGATAACGTACTACTCCGTATAGTGGATAACTGGATACTACTCTCCATTTCTATTTTTCTAAGGTTGTTTTTCGTGGTTTTATATGTCGATTTCTCAAAGTAATGCACCTCAAGTTCTCAACTTTTATCCCAATCATGTCTTTCCGAGTGATATTCAATCAACTCATTTTGATCCCAAGTGAAAATAGAGAGAAGGGGAGAGAGAGTAACTTTTAGTTATGGAATTTTGGGTGATTATGTTTGTATTCTGACAATATTCTACATTTCATACTGTGGAAATCTTCAAACGACATGTTTTAGTCTCTGAAACATTTTAAAACGAAGGATTCCGTACACTAATTTCATTTCAATTATCTTACTGTATCCTATTCATGTACTTGTATGTCGTAACTCGTAACTCGTAAATGAGAATAAGTATAGGGATGGTAAGTCGTAACCGCACCCTTCAATTTTAATATTTGTTGGAAGGCTAGAAAAGCTTCATATATAACTCAATACTACAACGGGATGTGACATAGAAATAAACTACTCAAATGAAAAATGTCGAATCAATAATCTTAGAAAGGTGTACTCTGATTGCAGATTGATTGTTCTTGCTAATCAATATATAACTAATAAACAAGTCGACTTTACCAACAATGGGTGAGAGAAAGAAGACATGTAGAATAAGAAGAGAAGTGTAGAACTTGTTTCAATTTCACCATCCATTAAAACAAAAACAATCCATGTGATCCAATTCTTAATGAAGAGATAAGTGCATACCTCTTAAGTGTAAGGTGTATAATCAATCTCATTTAGCCGAAATTTTTTGGGTCCTTTGTAATATGGGCCGTGCGTTCTCTTGTTGGGTTAGAGTTTTTACTCTCTTTAAATATCAGCTCTCTCATTGTAATCATTATCAGAAAATAATAGTAACAATCTGGCTTGATAGCGTCCCAGACGTAGTCATTCTTGGCGAACTGAGTATCCAAACTCTTGTATTTTTCCTATCATATTTCGTATTGTGTGTGTTAAATCCCAACATTAAGTAGACAAAAATAGCCGATCAAATATTGCAAGAATAAACATTTGATAGGCGGGACTCAACAACCAAATAAACTGATTTCTTTTAATGCAGGCGAGTAAAGCTTATTATTCCTACCGAACATGTTAAACTTCATCAAAATCTAAAAGTCTAAAACTAGTTAACGTACTACAATTTAAACACAAGTCCACAATGATATTTAGCAAGGACATGCTAAATATTGGGGAGAGACCTCATTTAGCAACGTGTAACCCCGTTTTTCTGTTATTCTTATTTGGGCTTCAGCCATCATCTTTCTAAACCGGCCAATGGTGCTACACTTGCTTTGTAAGGAAGGAAAGACAACGCGCTACATTATCAGTTATTGATTTCAGTGTATCAGTAAGTGCCCCGATCCTACAAGTGATACTAGAGCCTAGGTCACGTGTTCGAATTCCATGTGATTAGCAGAAAGGGTGAAGGTATGATGTACATCCGTGTGTGGTGGCAGATGTTTGGGGATTGTTGGACTTCATCCAACATCTTCATAAATCATCCTGTAGTGCTACACCTACTCTATAAGGCAGCAAAGACGTGGGTTACATTGTCAGTGATTTCTTTTAGCGTAACGGTAAGTACTTTGATCATACAATTCTTAATTTATTATTTGTCCTCCGATCATTGTTTTATCTTAGAGCTAAGTTAGCCATCCCTAAATTAAACACTTATCACAAATCACAGAAGTTCTTTCATAATTTTTTTTATCTATCTTACAAATCATCTACTCCGCTAAATCTATTACAATAAAGTTCAATTCTATGATTTTAAACTAAACATAGTTTCCATATTGAGATTTTCAATGCCTTAGCTTAAAAATTTTCCATTCCTTCTTAATGGCCGTAGTCTAACGAATTGGAATTGGACATGCAAGGCTGTTATTTCTTACTTTTTTACTGGCCACTTATGTGAAATACTATTGGAGTTTGTTATTTCGTCTACTAAATCACTTGAGGTACATATTGAATTTCTCAAACAGTCAATTAATAATGATAAACAAGTAAATTCTCCAAGATGTTATAAAGGAGTCGGTCAAAAGCATTACCAGCCAGTAAAGGATCGGAGTCCAGGAGAAATTAATTAGATACCAGTTCTAGAAAACATGAAAGAACAACTAATTAAATATACTGTACCAATTGGACAACGTACTGGTCGGATTAAGTCTCCGTTTCAACGCTTCGGGAATTGTCAAGTCTGTTTTTGAGTAGTCAGGTTCTGGGTATCAAGTCAAAGTGAGAAAGTCAGCGCGCCGTAGGATAAAAAAAATAAGAGTGCGTTTGCCGGGAGTCGAACCCGGGTCTATTGCTTGGAAGGCAATTATCCTAACCGTTGGACTACAAACGCTGTTGTTGAGAGAGTCGGACAAATCACAAAATAACGTGTACCGATTATACGGGAGCACTTGTTACTTCCTCATGTAACATGAGTACATGACTACAGACGATATAAATGCTGATATGTTTTGTGAAATTATGTACTCCGTATATTTTTGTGTGTAGCCGTGTAGGTGATGTTATGTTTTTATGAAAACTGTGTAAATACATAAATGTAATACATTATATTGTAAAATGATATTATGAGTTTTCGAAAAACATGTTGTTAGAGCAAAAATTTGAGTCCCTATATCGTACACCCGGTTGTACGTACATCTGGCCCAATTAATGACTTTGACTTGTGGGCTTACATCTCGTCCCAGCGAATCGCGGCCATAGGGAACTGGATTCCTTCACAAAAAAAGTAAAAACCACAACAGGATTCAATCCCCAGACCTGTAATAGCATATGCTATCTTCCAACCATCTCACCAAGTCGTCTTGTTGAAATAATTAGTTCTTTTATCTTACTTATCCTATATAGTTTCATACTACATATTATTAATAGTAATTATAATATTAACTATTCTTTTGCTTTTTCTCAATATTACTATATTAAAAGAGTAATTCATATTTTTGAAGTATTTATTTGATATCTAGTATTAATTTATATAAATATATTTAT